AATTTTGCGATAAAGTACAAAGTAACAAAGTTGCACATGCCCGAAATTAAATTGTTCTTTGTTAAGGTTATTCGCCCCTCCAAAACATTGATGACGTCGGCTAAAAATTATTTTGGCGACGTGGAGCGTGAAAATTTCTGTGTTTGGACCTACCACAACGTTGGTGACGTAGGTGGAAAAATGATTAAATAAATATACATTTTAACACGAAGTTTCCCGATTTTGTTAAAAATATGTTTCAGTCTGGATAAGAATTACATCTGTTTTTGTGGTTATTATGTTGCTATGTTATCTATAAATACGGTCGTTTTTTCAAAGAAATTATGACATAAATACACTTTTTTCTTATCAATTGAATGCATACGTAATTGTAAATTTTATTTATAATTCCTCTTTGATTGCAAAACGGTTTAAATTTCAATCTATTTATGTGTATGTGTAATATACCAGTTTTAACAAAATGTATACAAAGTAAAAAGCTACAATTTCCAAACAATATTCAAGTTAAATCAATAAAATTACCTTTTTCAGACTTCGTAACAAACGCAAGTCATATATTCTACCTTTCTTAAAAAAATAAAAAAATAATATACAGGGTGTTCCAATGGACAGTAGTGAAAAACCTATCAAAAAATTATTTTCGCACTTTTAAGATCTACGTAATAACATAATTTTATGTAGTTAGTTGTTTGGACCTAAATTACAAAAATAATATATACAAAAAATCATAACGATAAGTCGTTTAAGGTGTTCGAAAAAAATTTTGGAAAATTTCTATTTTTGAAAAATTGATTGACGGCCGTTACAAAATCAGCGACTTTTCAGCAACGAAGAAACGATTTGTGATTAAAAGTTTTCTCACAGTTTCACTATTCAAAGTCGTTAAAAAATATAAAAAATATTGAAAAATTTTCATTTTTGGATTTTTTGCACGGCCGTTAGAGGTTCAGAAATTTCCCAACAATTAAATATTAATTTACGTTTAAAAGTTTCATATAGTTTCACGATCGGCCCGGATCAAGGTCCAAGGGCTAGAGTATCACAATGTAGTTTTTGCCTTTTTTTGATAATAATTAAAGACATATTGAAAAATAAGGATTTAAAAACATGATTCAAGTTAAATCAATAAAATTACCTTTTTACCTTTTTCAGACTTCGTAACAAACCCTAGTCATATATTTAACCTTTCTTAAAAAAAAAATAAAAAAAATAATATACAGGGTGTTCCAATGGATCAGTAGTGAAAAACCTATCAAAAAATTATTTTCGCACTTTTTAGATCTACGTAATAACATAATTTTATATAGTTAGTTGTTTGACCTAAATTACAAAAATAAGATATCCAAAAAATCATAACGATAAGTCGTTTAAGATCTTTGAAACAAATTTTGGAAAGTTGCCATTTTTGAAAAATTTATTGACAGTCGTTATAAAATCAGCGACTTTTCAGCAACGAAGAAACGATTTGTGATTAAAAGTTTTCTCACAGTTTCACTATTCAAAGTCCTTAAAAAATATAAAAAAAAAAAATGAAAAATTTTAATTTTGGATTTTTTTCACGGCCGTTACAGGTACAGAAATTTGTCAGCAATTAAGTATTAATTTACGTTTAAAAGTTTCGTATAGTTTCACGATGGCCCCGCTCCAAGGCCCAAGGGCTTAAGTACCACAATGTAGTTTTTCCCTTTTTTTTGATAATAATTAAAGACATATTGAAAAATAAGGGTTTAAAAACAATATTCAAGTTAAATCAATAAAATTACCTTTTTCAGACTTCGTAACAAACGCTAGTCATATATTTAACCTTTCTTAAAAAAAATAAAAAAAAATATACAGGGTGTTCCAATGGATCAGTAGTGAAAAACCTATCAAAAAATTATTTTCGCACTTTTTGGATCTACGTAATAACATAATTGTATGTAGTTAGTTGTTTGACCTAAATTACAAAAATAAGATATACAAAAAATCATAACGATAAGTCGTTTAAGGTGTTCGAAAAAAATTTTGGAAAATTTCTATTTTTGAAAAATTGATTGACGGTCGTTACAAAATCAGCGACTTTTCAGCAACGAAGAAACGATTTGTGATTAAAAGTTTTCTCACAGTTTCACTATTCAAAGTCCTTAAAAAATATAAAAAAAAAATGAAAAATTTTAATTTTGGATTTTTTTCACGGCCGTTACAGGTACAGAAATTTGTCAGCAATTAAGTATTGATTTACGTTTAAAAGTTTCGTATAGTTTCACGATGTCAAGGTCCAAGGGCTTAAGTACTACAACGTAGTTTTTCCCTTTTTTTGATAATAATTAAAGACATATTGAAAAATAAGGGTTTAAAAACAATATTAAGTTAAATCAATAAAATTACCTTTTTCAGACTTCGTAACAAACGCTAGTCATATATTTAACCTTTCTTAAAAAAAATTAAAAAAAAATATACAGGGTGTTCCAATGGATCAGTAGTGAAAAACCTATCAAAAAATTATTTTCGTACTTTTTGGATCTACGTAATAACATAATTGTATGTAGTTAGTTGTTTGGACCTAAATTACAAAAATAATATATCCAAAAAATCATAACGATAAGTCGTTTAAGGTGTTCGAAAAAAATTTTGGAAAATTTCTATTTTTGAAAAATTGATTGACGGTCGTTACAAAATCAGCGACTTTTCAGCAACGAAGAAACGATTTGTGATTAAAAGTTTTCTCACAGTTTCACTATTCAAAGTCCTTAAAAAATATAAAAAAAAAAATGAAAAATTTTAATTTTGGATTTTTTCACGGCCGTTACAGGTACAGAAATTTGTCAGCAATTAAATATTGATTTACGTTTAAAAGTTTCGTATAGTTTCACGATGTCAAGGTCCAAGGGCTTAAGTACTACAACGTAGTTTTTCCCTTTTTTTGATAATAATTAAAGACATATTGAAAAATAAGGGTTTAAAAACAATATTAAGTTAAATCAATAAAATTACCTTTTTCAGACTTCGTAACAAACGCCAGTCATATATTTAACCTTTCTTAAAAAAAATAAAAAAAAAATATACAGGGTGTTCCAATGGATCAGTAGTGAAAAACCTATCAAAAAATTATTTTCGCACTTTTTGGATCTATGTAATAACATAATTGTATGTAGTTAGTTGTTTGGACCTAAATTACAAAAATAACATATCTAAAAAATAATAACGTTAAGTTGTTTAAGGTCTTCGAAAAAAATTTTGGAAAATTGCCATTTTTGAAAAATTTATTGACAATCGTTATAAAATCAGCGACTTTTCAGCAACTAAGAAACGATTTGTGATTAAAAGTTTTCTCATAGTTTCACTATTCAAAGTCCTTAAAAAATATAAAAAAATTGAAAAATTTTCATTTTTGGATTTTTTCACACGCCCGTTACAGGTTCAGAAATTTTTCAGCAATCAAGTATTGATTTACGTTTAAAAGTTTCGTATAGTTTCACGATGTCAAGGTCCAAGGGCTTAAGTACCACAACGTAGTTTTTCCCTTTTTTTGATAATAATTAAAGACATTGAAAAATAAGGGTTTAAAAACAATATTAAGTTGAATCAATAAAATTACCTTTTTCAGATTTCATAACACATGCAAGTAATATATTTAACCTTTCTAAAAAAAAAACTAAAAAATAATATACAAGGTGTTCCAATGAATCAGTGGTGAAAAACCTATCAAAAAGATATTTTCGCACTTTTTAGATCTACGTAATAACTTAATTTTATGTAGTTAGTTGTTTGACCTAAATTACAAAAATAATATATCCAAAAAATCATAACGATTAGCCGTTTGAGGTCTTCAAAAAAAATTTTGGAAAAGTTCCATTTTTGAAAAATGTATTGACAATCGTTATAAAACCAGCGACTTTTCAGCAACGAAGAAACGATTTGTGATTAAAAGTTTTCTCATAGTTTCACTATTCAAAGTCCTTAAAAAATATAAAAAAATTGAAAAATATTAATTTTTGGATTTTTTTTCACGGCCGTTACAGATTCAGAAATTTGTCAGCAATTAAGTATTAATTTACGTTTAAAAGTGTCGTATAGTTTCACGATCGGCCCGGTTCAAGGTCCAAGGGCTTGGCTAGCAAAACGTGATTTTTCCCTTTTTTCAGAATTATACATGTTGAGAAATCAGTTTTTACAAAACAATATTAAAAATGAATCAATAAAATTTAACTTGAATTCTTCGTGTCACATTCAAACCATCTATTTTACTTTGATTAAAAGAAATCTATGAAAATAATAATATACGGGGTGTCTCATAGCACAAGCATAGAAGATCTATTAAAAAATATATTTTAGTAGCCATTAATTGTTTGACCTAAATTACACAAAAAATATATGCAAGAAAACCTACCGATAATTCGTTTAAGTTCCGTTTTATTTTATTTTTATAATTTTTTCACGAAAAAAGTCAATGACTTTTCAGCAATAAAGGTTCAATTTGCGTTTACAAGTTTCGCATGGTTTCACGCCCGGCCCAGTCCAAGGTCCAAGGGCTTGTCTAGCACAAATTGCCTCCCTCCACAATATTAAAATTTAATCAATAAAATCACCCTGCTAAAAAATCTAAAAATAATAAAATAAAGGTGACCCAATAAACCATTGAAAAAATAGTTTGGCACAGTTTTTCGAAACACACCATGTAAATTTAAATTTAAAATTAAATCATTATTTTGTCACGACAAACAAAAAAATAAAGTGGAACACCCTGTATTTATAACTGCTCCGAACTTACCTTGACGTAGCTTTTTTGACATCTTGTGGTCTGGTTTCCCCGTCAGGTTTTTTGTAACAATTTTTACTGTCCCATAAACGTAAGAGATTAGAATAATTATTTGTTTATATCCGTGCACTATGGAACCGAATTATTTAAACAAAAAACATGAAAAAAAATTTTGACAATTCACCCCACAAAGCCCAAGATTAATTAGAAGCGGTTTTAAAATACAGGGTGTCTCGATATTTTCGTCGAAAGTTGGACTTACATGGTTGAGCGAAAGTGAGGACTTCTTGCGTTTTGACGTGGTAGTCGTCCTCTTCCTCCGTGATGGAGTATCCCGTCTTGAACCTGGGCTCGTCGCTCTGCATGCCGCCCATTTCCTGGTCCACCTTGGCCAGGAAGTGCGGCGGCACCGGGGGCAGCACGCGCCCCGTCACGTTGGGGGCGGTCTGGAAGCCCATCCGCCGCAAGACCTCCCCCTTGATCACCTCCAGGTTGCGGCTCTTGATCTCCTCGCGCATCTTGCACGAGCCGCAGGCCGAGGCCTGGGTGGGCTCCAGATTGTCCGCGAATCGTCTTTTCACAATACTGTTTGATCGGTTCCGGATTTCCTTATCACTAAACGTCGGCGTTATCATAATGAGGATTAAGAGCAGTTTTATAGTTCTCCCGGAGTCGGGGAGCGACCCCCAGACGCAGCGCCCGCTTACCATCTTATCTCTCTAAATTAATCAGTCGGAGTATCACAAGTTTGTCAGATTCGATATGGCGTATCACAAGTCCGAAAATCACTCGAATTTTATCACATTTTCGAAGGCGCGAAGAGGAGCACTCAGCACTAAACCTTCATCCCCCATCGCTCTATAATACTTGGATGGCAATTTGGATCACATTCATCTATTATTAATTTTTTTCTAATCACAAGTCGATCACAATCTGAATTTACATTGGACAATTTTTTTTTCAGTCGAAGCTCTCGATTTTTTTTTCTTAGATTCTGTATCACATTCGCACGCGTGTCGGCTTCAAGAAGAGATCTATCAGTACGGTAATAAACCGAGTTGGTTAGAGTTAAAGACCAACACTGAGCTATAATATAAAGCTGAGACTATATATGTGTGTAAACCTCTACAGTGCGTGTGTATCTACTTGTACGAGCGCTACCGCGTCGATCAAGCCGTGCTCGACGGACAGCGGCACTGCGATTGGCGGAGACGCGGAACGCCGTTTCGAAAAATAGATCGTACCCAAAGAGGGCACAACGCTCACCAAACGTACCGGGCCGCAAAATCGGGAACCGCGGTAATTACACAAAACGGACGCAGGGGGCGCCAGCGTCGAAAAAAGACGATTTTTGAAAAATTTAACTTGTGGCCTTATTAGTATTATTATTATTTTTATTATTACTTGGTATATTTCTCGCTGCGCTTAAATATTGCACCACCAAAACTAAATTCTCTCCCGACCTAATTGTTGCTGTTGAGAAGATATCGCAACACAGTAAAAGCCGAGTTTAATTACAATTTGAGTGGTACCCAAAACTCAACCAAAAGTCTGTTCTCGTTTTTAACGTTGCAAAATACATAGTTTGGAAAAATATTTCATAAAAGTCACAATTTTACTTTTTGAAAACAAAAGTTTCCTCTTTAAAAATTAAAAATAGGGTTTTTTTGACTTAGCAAAAACATTTTTTTAATTTCTTTAAGACAATGCTAACTTTATGAAACATTTTTTGCTAAACAAAGGAAATTTTTTCGTTTAATAAAATCTTTTGGTAAAAAACTTTTGTTTTTAGTTTTCGTCAAAAAATTACCTCGCTGAGTACAGTGGTTTAGAGAAAAATATTTCACAAAAGTCACAATAATTTTACTTTTTGCCAAAAAATGATCTTCTGTTTAAAAATGAAAAGTTGGAGTTTTTGGTCCAAAATATTGCCATATGTTTTTTTTAATTTGGCATAAATATTTTTTGAATTTTTTTTGACAATGCTAACTTAATGGAGCATTTTTTAGACCATATAATTTATCATTTTTTACATGTATAAGTTTGTATTAAAAATAAAACAGTCTTTGGGTTGTTCGATATATTGTTTAAAACATTTTTGACTTTACGTGCTTGTCACCTGAGCAAAGTATACTAAAATTGTAGACTAAAAATTAATATTGAAAATATATCAGTGCTATACAAAGGGAATTTTTTCGTTTAATAAAATCTTTTTTGTAAAAAACTTTTGTTTTTAGTTTTCGTCAAAAAATTACCTCGCTGAGTACAGTGGTTTAGAGAAAAATATTTCATAAAAGTCAAAATAATTTTACTTTTCGCCAAAAAATGATCTTCTGTTTAAAAATGAAAAGTTGGAGTTTTTGGTCCAAAATATTGCCATGTTTTTTTTTAAACTTAGCTAAAATATTTTTTGAATTTTTTTTGACAATGCTAACTTAATGAAGCATTTTTTAGACCATATAATTTATCATTTTTTACATGTATAAGTTTGTATTAAAAATAAAACAGGTTTTGGGTTGTTCGATCTATTGTTTAAAAGATTTTTTGACGTTACATGCTTGTCACCTGAGCAAAGTATACTAAAATTGTAGACTAAAAATTAATATTGAAAATATATCAGTACTAAACAAAGGGAATTTTTTTCGTTTAATAAAATCTTTTTTGTAAAAAACTGTTGTTTTTAGTTTTCGTCAAAAAATTACCTCGCTGAATACAGTGGTTTAGAGAAAAATATTTCATAAAAGTCAAAATAATTTTACTTTTCGCCAAAAAATGATCTTCTGTTTAAAAATGAAAAGTTGGAGTTTTTGGTCCAAAATATTGCCACTTGTTTTTTTTAACTTAGCAAAAATATTTTTTGAATTTTTTTTGACAATGCTAACTTCATGAAGCATTTTTTAGACCATATAACTTATCATTTTTTACATGTATAAGTTTGTATTAAAAATAAAACAGTTTTTGGGTTGTTCGATATGTTTAAAACATATTTTGACGTTACATGCTTGTCACCTGAGCAAAGTATACTAAAATTGTAGACTAAATATCAATTTTAAAAATATATCAGTATCATACAAAGTGATTACTTTTAGTTTAATAAAATTTTTGGAAAAAAAACACAGTTACCTGCAGTTTTGGCAAAAAAATTACGTCGTTGAATAAATTGGTTTAGAAAGAAATATTTCATAAAATTCACAATAATTTAACTTTTCCCAAAAAAAAGATTGTCTATTTAAAACTGAGAAGTTGCCTTTTTTGGCTCCAATTATCATCATATGTTTTTTTTAATCTAACAAAAACATGTTTTGATTTTTTCTTTGAAACAATGCTCCTTCAGGATACATTTGTTAGAACATTTAATGTATAATATTTTACATACATATATAAGTTTATATTAAAAAAAATCAATTTTCTTGTTCGATACGATGTTTGGACCAATTCTTGACGTTACATGCTTGTCACTTGAGAAGAGCATATTAAAATTGCGAAGTAAAAACTGCTGTTAAAAATATATCAGTGCGGAACAAAGTAAATTTTGTTCGTTTAATAAAATCTTTTGGAAAAAAAACACAGTTATTTTTATATTGTGTAAAATTCATAGATTTTTTACCCTAAATATTGTCATATTTTTAACCTAAGAATACAATTTTTTTGAAAATATTTTTTTTAATAGTGCTAACTTCATGATACATTTGTTAGACCACATAATTTATAATTTTTTACATATATAAGGCTATATTAAAAAACAAAAAAACCATTTTTGAGTTGTTCGATATGTTGTTTAGATCATTTTTAACGTTACATGCTTGTCACCTGAGCAAAGTATACTAAAATTGTAGACTAAATATCAATTTTAAAAATATATCAGTACCATACAAAGTCATTACTTTTAGTTTAATGAAATCTTTTGGAAAAAAAAAACACAGTTACCCGCAGTTTTGGCAAAAAAATTACGTCGTTTAATAAATTGGTTTAGAAAGAAATATTTCATAAAATTTACAATAATTTTACTTTTCCCAAAAAAAAAGATTTTCTATTTAAAAATGAGAAGTTGCCCTTTTTGGCTCGAATCATCATCATATGTGTTTTTTTAATCTAACAAAAACATGTTTTGATTTTTTTTTTCTAACAATGCTCTTTCAGGATACATTTGTTAGAACATTTATTGTATAGTATTTTTCATATATAAGTTTATATTAAAAAAAATCAATTTTCTTGTTCGATACGTTGTTTGGACCAATTTTTGACGTTACATGCTTGTCACTTGAGAAGAGCATATTAAAATTGTACAGTAAAAATTGCTATTAAAAAAATATCAGTGCGGAACAAAGTAAATTTTGTTCGTTCAATAAAATCTTTTGGAAAAAAAACACAGTTATATTTATAATGTGTAAAATTCAAAAATTTTTTACCCTAAATATTGTCATATTTTTAACCTAAGAATACAATTTTTTTGAAAATATTTTTTTTAATAGTGCTAACTTCATGATACATTTGTTAGACCACATAATTGATAATTTTTTACATATATAAGGTTATATTAAAAAACAAAAAAAGCGTTTTTGAGTTGTTCAAAATGTTGTTTAGACCATTTTTTGACGTTACATGCTTGTCACCTGAGCAAAGTATACTAAAATTGTAGACTAAATATCAATTTTAAAAATATATCAGTACCATACAAAGTGATTACTTTTAGTTTAATAAAATCTTTTGGAAAAAAAAACACAGTTACCTGCAGTTTTGGCAAAAAAATTACGTCGTTGAATAAATTGGTTAGGAAGAAATATTTCATAAAATTCACAATAATTTTACATTTCTCAAAAAAAATGATATTCTATTTAAAAATGAGAAGTTGCCCTTTTTGGCTCCAATCGTCATCATATGTTTTTTTTAATCTAACAAAAACATGTTTTGATTTTTTTTTTCTAAAAATGCTCCTTCAGGATACATTTGTTAGAACATTTAATGTATAATTTTTTACACATATAAGTTTATATTAAAAAAAAAAAACATTTTTTTGTTGTTCGATACGTTGTTTGGAACAATTCTTGACGTTACATGCTTGTCATTTGAGAAGAGCATATTAAAATTGTAGAGTAAAAATTGCTATTAAAAAAATATCAGTGCGGAACAAAGTAAATTTTGTTCGTTCAATAAAATCTTTTGGAAAAAAAACACAGTTATATTTATAATGTGTAAAATTCAAAAATTTTTTACCCTAAATATTGTCATATTTTTAACCTAAGAATACAATTTTTTTGAAAATATTTTTTTTAATAGTGCTAACTTCATGATACATTGGGTAGACTACATGATTTATAATTTTTTACATATATAAGTTTATATTAAAAAACAAAAAAACCGTTTTTGTGTTGTTCGATATGTTGTTTAGACCATTTTTTGACGTTACATGCTTGTCACCTGAGCAAAGTATACTAAAATTGTAGACTAAATATCAATTTTAAAAATATATCAATACCATACAAGTGATTACTTGTAGTTCAATAAAATCTTTTGGAAAAAAACACAGTTACCTGCAGTTTTGGCAAAAAAATTACGTCGTTGAATAAATTGGTTTAGAAAGAAATATTTCATAAAATTCACAATAATTTTACTTTTCTCAAAAAAAAATGATTTTCTATTTAAAAATGAGAAGTTGCCCTTTTTGGCTCCAATCGTCATCATATATTTTTTTTTCTAACAATGCTCCGTCAGGATACATTTGTTAGAACATTTAATGTAAAAAAATGTAAAAAAATAAATTTTCTTGTTCGATACCTTGTTTGGACCAATTTTTGACGTTACATGCTTGTCACTTGAGAAGAGCATATTAAAATTGTAGAGTAAAAATTGTTGTTAAAAATATATCAGTGCGGAACAAAGTAAATTTTCTTCGTTTAATAAAATCTTAAAAAAAAACACAGTTATCTTTAGTTTGTGCAAAATTCATAGATTTTTTACGCCAAATATTGTCATATTTTTAACCTAAAAATACAATTTTTTTATTATATATTTTTTAATAATTCTAACTTCATGATACATTTGGTAGACCACATAATTTATAATTTTTTACATATATAAGTTTAT